CTTCCATTATTAATGCTATAGTCTCAGCACCAATGAAAATGTCTAGCATACAGTATGTGTCCAATATGTATTTGTTGAATAAATGAGAAAGTTTACAAGTAATTCATGGATCTCATAAAATACTCTATATCTTATTTACATCAAAGATAAAATGTTTCATATTTCTTTAGACTAACTACAACATGTTCAAAAATTTGGTCTATCAGCTGAAGAGTATCTCAATTTGATAAATAAAAAGTTTACATTTTCATGTAAGCCCTTCCAAATACTCTAGCATAAATATGTGAAAATGAGATACTCTTCTTCATGGGCCATCTGCAAACTTGTAGAAAGTGAGAACCTGGGGTATAAGTGAATGTGATGGGCCTGACTTCTATTTTTCCATGCTATAAAAGCCATAAACAGTGTGGTTAATGATGCTCCCATATCTCACTAGAAGCCAGGGTACACTGGATTCGTGCTAGCTCTGGTAGCTGAACACCAGTTGAGGGCAGCAGAGAGCTACTTGAGAGAAAATACATCCAAGAAGACTTAACAGCTCTCAGCTGAGAGTAAAGTGCTTGGCCAGGTCCACAGTGGGCTGCTAAAAATGCAGCCACGTGGAAAATTGGTTCACAGGGTGGCCAGCAAGAATGGAGTAACCAAATATATAAATGCAGAAAACCAAAAATTCAGGGAGATGGGTAGGAAGCAACACGAGGGAATTCAGAATAATCTGGACTCTTTCACGCAGTTCTCAGGAGCCACTGATTCAGTCATCTTACTCCAGAGCTGCTGAATCACAAAATGTCTTAAATTCCCTCCAACTGTAAAATATTAGTTTCCAAGACAGTGAACAAAGACGTTTAGAGTACAATCTTCTTACAAGGATTATCCTTCCTGTAGAAAGAATATAAAATTGCCAGTGTTAAGAGGGGAGAATCATACATGAATGAGGAGAAGCGAACACAGACTAGGGGTCCCAAAATTCTTTAAAAGTTTAAATTTCTCAAATATATGTGGTGATATCCTGGTGAGGTTTAACAAAAAGCCTCAGCCAGTCCCCTTGGTTCCCAGTATGAGAGCTCCACCCCTAAAAATGGCCAAGTGCAAGTTGCAGCCTGTCCAAGGCTAGGATTCCTGCTCCTTTCCTGTGTCTTCCTAATGGTGTGATCTTAAGCAAATCATTTCACCTCTCTGCGTCAGCCTTCTCCTTTCTAAAATAGAATAATACCTGTGTTTATGAGGTCTGTGAAAAATCTACGGAAGAAAACATGTCTTGTGAACTTTATGTAACCATAAGGAATTTTAACTACAAGTCCAAGTATTAGGAAGAGTAAAAAGTTATCTAGGGAACAACAAAAAGGCATCTATGAAAGAAACTTTTGATATATTTAGAATTTTCCCTGTAATGAACTTGTTTTTTTCTATCAACCCAGGTCAATGTAGATATTATTCTCCATATACATACATATATATACACATAAACACACACATACTCATGTGTGTGTGTACATGGGTATATGTGTGTGTCTTCAGCTACCCTGAGGTCTATATTAAATGCTGAGCATATTTGCATTATGGAGTGATATTTGCCTTGTGTGAACACTCTTCTTGCTAAAAGTATATAATGATGTTCCTCGTCAGAATTTGGAGACATTGTATTGCATCCTCCTGAAGAAATTTATTCACAGAGACACAGAAGCAGAAAGAAAATATAGGCTATTTGCAGCCAGAATACTTTGGCTCTGGTTCCTAAAAATAATAATCATAATAATTAATCATCACCCTGAGGATATGGGAACATGTTAGAAAACTTGAATACAGCTGCCTCAGCTCTGTGTTCGCTTGGTCCTCTCTCACATTATGATTTTTCTGGATAGACAGCAAAGGAGAGCTAAGTGCATGTCAGTGAGTTAGTAAATGGTGACTAGAGTGTCTGAGATTTTTGTTATTTTTAAAAGCAGAAAAAGGGGAAGATCAGCAAGACAGGAAGATAGAGAAGATGGAAGGCTCATCAATTCTCATTTCTGATGAGATGCGTAACGAGAGAACTCAGGAGCGATAAGGAAGAGTTACAAATAACAATGAAGGCACCAGAAGGGAGTCTTCCCAAATGAAGGTTGATGATTTATTGACTTAAAAATCTTTTGAGTTATAAGGGATAGCAGATTCAACTCTCTCATTTTGTTCATAAGAAATCTAGGGCCCAGGAGAAGTGTTGTGACTAGCTGAAATCCCCCCAAGTGTTAACAACTTGTACATTTATCTTATTAATCTAGAACTAGCTAGACAGTATGTCAGTGACCAAATTTTATAGTAAAATCTAGAAAATATTGGTGAAAAAATAAAATAGAATAAACAAAATTAGTTTCCCTCGAAGTTACAAAACATGAATCCATATCCATTAGTCATCAGCTGCTTTGCCGTTAGAAAATTAAACACACACTTCAGTAAGTGCATGGACAAACTGCACCCACACACATGGCCAGCTTACAGTCACATGGAATGAAATGAGTTCTACTATCTTTCTCTAGCATGTTAAATGCCAAGCAAATGTTAAAATTGTTATTCTGAAAAGTTTTGGGCTCCGCAGTCTACCATTGCTAAAATTTTTCCTGTGCCCAGATAGTTCATTTTATCTTTGCTGTAAGAAGAAGAGAGTCCATCTAGACATAGGAATTTCACTTCTTTGAATTCCAAAATATTTTCAGCCAAAGGCAATGTAGACAGAGCATATATGTGATTACTTAAAACACGTTATTTTTAGTAAGTTCCCTGATCTCAAATCAAAGTGGTTAGTAAAGAAAAAAATATATCAAATATTTCTTTTTTTCAATTTTGTTAAGTATTTGTGTAGAAACACATTTGGTGATAACCTGGAAAATTAGATAAATAAATTGCAGCCCCTTCCCTCAAAAAGAGAAACTTTTTAGAACAGTTTCTTGACATGGAATTTAAGGCATTGGAAGAATATTCATAACAAACTTTGTTTGCCCTGTGTACAGATTTGATGAAAAACCTTTGTCTTTCTATGTCTTATTATCACAATCGAAGCTTAGACTTTTTATTATCAAAAGACTATTGCTTGCCAAACAATCAAGATTTATTAGAAAAACCTCCATGGCTCTCTCCTCCAAAAACCCACTGCCCAATAAACTCTTCCACAGCTTCATCGCTACTGTTGAGCCTTATGATCACTAGATGTCGCTGCTGCTGTTTGAATGAGATTTTCTTCCTTCACCCCCAAAATTTTTTCTGAAGATTCTTAGGGTTTTTAAAGTTATATTTTGGTGATGATGATGGTGGTGCTGGGAATTTGATGAATGAATGATATTGTATATATAAATAATTGCAGGTCACTTATTTTTCAGATTAAGAAAAAAATGGAAAGATGAAGTAACTTGCCTAAGGATCCATAGAAAAGAATGCTGGAACCAGAGTCAGGAAAACAGTTCACATGTCTACACTTCACCAGCTTTTAAGAAGCAAACATGTTCCAGCTGTGAACAATTAAGACATTCACCTTTTTAAATCAATACCCACTGGATAATATTTAATCACACTTTAAGTCAGTTTCACTTTGCATTGCCTCTGATGGTCTTCTCCTGGAACAGTAGGTACACATGAATCATGAGGGCAGGTGGCTTTCCCAGGCTAGATTTACTAGGTAGAGTAAGAAAGCTAACAGAAGTTCATCATCCAAGTTAAGGTTATTTCTTGCTGCAGAGAATCTCCCCCTAGGGGAAAAATGTCAACAAGCTCAGGAGAGTCTCCCCCATAAATTTATTAAAACTAAGCAAACATACACAGCACCCACACACAATCCAATACAGAGGGCATCTCCAATACAGCTTTCCCTGTTAATAGAAAGAAAGCCAGTGGAGTTTTCTTCAGAAGCCTGGAGGTTCAAAGGACACAGACGGACTGTGAGGGCAATCACCAACTGCTTCCACCGACCAAGGAGAGGAGAAAGAAAGACATGACCCCCCTCCACCCCCCCAAAAAAAAGAAGAATAAGAAGGCAAGTTAACTGATAGAGGCAACTAAGCTATGCTGAAGCTTCCAGATAGTTCTGCTCTCCGGGGAAAACCAGAAATTCACCACCCTGCTTGATGGATTGGCAGGCAAGAGAAAGGGGGAAACTTCACACACTGGGCTCAAAGTTGTTGGACCCCCTTTCCAGTCCCCATCTCAAGAAAAGAAGAAGGGGGCAGGGAGGAATGGACGTGCCCTGAAAAGAAAAGAAAAAGGAGCCAACATTGCGGCCAGCCTTGGGAAAATCTCCACAGATGAGCATTTTTTGTTGCGTTAAGTGGCCGGCATTAGCAGCCTAAACACGTAGGGGAAGGCTAACATCGCCGTTAATATAATGCGGGAGAGGAATGATAGACCTGGGAGTTGAGAGTGGAAGCGCTAGTTTTGCATAAAACAAAACAAAAAACATTTCTGAGGACTTAAGCTCCTAGGGCGTTGGGTGGAGTGACAATTTGGGGAACGCCTCCATCCATAGAGGAAGCATGCATTGGGCATCAGTTTCAGAGGCTTATTTTTAAAATATATGTTTATTTCAGCTGCCTTAGAAATTATTTCACAGTCTGAAAAAAAGCTTCTTAGAGCCATGGTTCTGAGGTCGTCTCTGGGAGGGAGAAGAATCATCTCTGGGATGTCTCTTTCAAACTCCAGCAATGGGATTAAGAACTGACAAGGAGGTTCTGGAAGTCCGAAGGAAAATGGTCACCTCCACCACCCTCACACTGCTTCATTTCTCTCACACTTGGGGAGGTGGATGAGATCTAGTTATGCCACATAGAGAGAGTGAAAGAGATGGTGAAAGGGAGAGGGAGAGAGAGGAAAGAGAAAAGGGAAGGAAAAGCAAGGAAGAAAGGGAGGGAGGGAAGGAGGGAGGGGACCGGAAGGAAAATTAGAAGAAATGAAACCCAATTGAAGTCCTATTATTAATACTTAAAAAAAAAAAAAAAAAAAAAAAAACTAAATCAACTCTCTGGTAAGTTCCTCACCTTTCTAGGAAATCTTCAGCTTGAACAATAGTCTAAGTGCCCTAAGGCAATAGAAACAAAACTTTGGATGAGTGGGGCGGTGAGACATTCCTGGAGGGCAGGCGCGGGGCTCATAGCAGAGTGAGTCTGCAGTACTGGTGTTAAGGAGACTTTGAGCGCTCGAATTCTGTTGGTAAATTTCTTCCCAGAGTCCCACGTTCCCTTGTTTAGCATCTCCCTTCTCCAAGAATTACTTGAGAGGATGAGCTCGACAATGGTTGGCTTTTCTGCGTGAAGAGCCGATAGGATCCACCAAGACTAAAATCCAAAAAAGGCTCCCGGTGCTTCCGAGTACAACCTCAAATTCTCTCGCACCCTGCCTAAGTTTCTTGAAACTCGGAGACTCAGCTCAGTGTAAAAACTTGGGGGTTCTCCTGGTCGGTCTCCCTAACCACAGGGGGACCCCTGCAAACATGGCCTCCTCTTTAATACCTTTTTAACTCAGTTCTTCAAGCAACCCACCTAGAAGAATAAAAGGACCCACTGGGCTCCAAGAACAGAGTAGATGATTAAATAAAGCCAGGATCTTAGATCTTCGCGCTTGGGTGGGGAGTGGGGGCGCTGGGGAAAAGTCGGGAGTAGCCCCCGCGATACCAACTGGTGGCCAGAGGCGGGGGCGGGGGGGAAGCATTGGAATGTGGCGATGCCTCCACCAGCCGTCACTTCGTGAGCCCCCAAGTCAAGCTGCTCTAGACCACTGTGTATGAAAGTGGATTGTCTCTCCAGAACCAAATATTCCCTGATCAGCTTCCCCAGCGCCCTCAAGCTTTCCTGGGAGAGCACCGCGCTGCTGGAGACGCGGCGCTTCTGTCAATTGTACAAAGCAATTACTAAGAAAATATTGTGACGACGTTGTAGGGTACAAGGGGACGTGAGGGGTAAGGGAGGGGGAGTTGGTTAGGAGAGCAATTTCCAAAGGAATATTGACTTTGATTCCCGGGTCACCGCGGAAAAACGGGTTCTGAGCTGCAGAGCTCTTCCTCTAGGTGGCGGACTTTGGTACCAAACTGCGGCTAGATGAGCGCTGACTTCAAACACAGGATTAAGCTTCTTGCTGGTTAAAAATAATAACAGTAATAATACAGAGGTGTGGGGCTGCTTTTTTCCCCTTTTGGATATTTATTTATTGCAGGGAAAAGTCATTGATTTTCCTAAGCAAACTGTGTTTCTCCTTCACTTGGTGGAAAATAAAAACTGTTTGAATAAATAAGTTATTTCTGAACATTTTGTTGTCAAAGTGTTAAATGTTCCCGTCATTTTTATTCAAACACTAACATGATTACAGCCAATTATATATTCACCAGTGTTCTTTATTTTAGAGTAATTGTACTTGTCACTAATAAAACAGAGGCATAATGGATTGCTACTGTTCTAGTTTTTCAAGCAATTTTGTGTAATTTGATTGAATTATACATCTTATCTGCTACTTTTTTATTTTTATATTTGGGGATCCTATTTTCTTGAAAATTGCAGCTCTATGCTTGTTTTGTTGTTTCTCCAGTAACGTACACTTCGGTAACACTGATAAACAGAAAGAGTCCCTTTGAAATGTCAAAAATCAGTTGTTTTTTTTCCACACCCCCTCCCTGCACTTCAGCTTGGGGAAGACCTGAACTCTGCGCAGCAAGGGACTCTGAGCCAGTGAGTGCGCTTCCTAAAAAAGTTCAACGTCAAGATAAATTCCCCATTGGCCCCAAAGTTAGTCACCTCCCTGCCTTGAGTCTTTGTCTCTTTCCTGTAATGATACTGTTGGGTGTCTGGGGCTTCAAACATGCTAAGACAAGTAGGCTATGGATTCAGTTCATGTGCAATATGTATCAAGGGAAAGAATATACGGCGCAGCTAAAAGATAAACTGTATACATTACTCCAGTTACACAAGCCCCAAAGGGCCTACCTACCAATCCACCCATCCCTCGCCAATTAAAACTATTATCTGTTTGCCTACCTATGTTATTTTGGTTCCAAATATATGGAAAGGACTGGGATCAATATTTCTCCCCCCACCCCCTTTTTTAAAACAATTTCAATAATTGTTTTAAAAAGATAGGGGGAAAGATGCACACATCTTCCCATTGTTCACATAGCAGAACAATCAAGAAATAAATGTGACAGCAAACAGACGTGATGATCTTCAGGGACCATCTCCAAAACTGAAGGAACAGAGAATGTGTAATTCTTTTCCCAGTAAATCCTTCCAGTTCCTAGGACAGGACTCAAACATCGCGGTAGGAGCTGCAGCTGCGAGATGGAGCCAAAGGCTCTGACAAGTGCCTCGTGTATGACCCAGTATTTATCAATAACAACAACAAACTCAAGTGAAACCAAGGCTGGAGATTTTGAACTGCTTCTGAAGCCCTGGCGTGGATGTGCACGTGAGCAGGGAAAAAGTCACTGGAGATAAGTTGACTCCACTTGTCCGCCCTGGGGAGCAATCCTGGGGCAATATCCAGTGCTAATTGATACCAACCAGCCAAACTATCAGCTGTAAATGTTCAAGGGGACAAAAAATAAGCAATGTGTACTAAAGATACTCCAAGTATTTTTTCAAGTAAATAGGGACGTGTAATCAGTAGCGTGCATATGCATATAAATAGGAAAAGAGAATTATTTTTAACTAATTTGGAAAATAATGTTTCATGTGTAATTCCAGACTTCTCTAGTGTTTCCCATCCTCCGACTGTTTTGTGATTGGGACTTCTTCTAGGAAAACTTGCGGGTCCTGTTTTGTGTTTCGAGCGGGAGAACAGACACTCAGCTCAAATAGAGGCTGTTGTCTCCTCTTTCGGAGTGTTTATTCTAAGGCCAAAAGGAAAGCCGGCCAAGGCAGCGGTGTGAGCTTGGTGTCTTGCACTGCGGGGGGCCGAGGAGGCCCAAGTTGGGACAGCTCCGGAGCTAGCTCGGTGCCCCTCAGCTGGGGGAGAGCGCGCGGCAGCCGCCTGCCAGACCCACAGGCTGCTCTCCAAAGGAGCTGGGCTTTTTCAGCATTTCTATTTCCTTGTAGCCTCCTCTATCTTATCTAACAAGTTCAGGCTCCGGGAGAAAAGAAGAGGGTGAGAAAAAAAAAAAAAGAAAAGAAAAACTCTTCACCGCGGTGATTCATAGTTCACAGGCTCAGGAGCCAAACTTGCCGACCCAGCTTTTTTCTCGAACGTTACTTTCTCTCCTGCGTGACTTAGGACAATCCCAGAAGGAAGATACTAAAATTGGTGAACAAGAATCTAGGGTTGTTTGAAAAATAAAAGTAACCCTCCCCCCAATACCCACACCTTTGATGTTGTTGATTCTGACACAAAGGAGTGGAAGGAGTGGAGTTGTTTTGTTTACACAGGATAACGGTAACTTGCTCCTGATGCCGCTCTACCAGTAGCTTAGTCCGTCCTCTCCTCTCCTCCCCGCATACGACTCCTTCCAAAGAGCGGGAGAGAAATACGGGTATGACTGCTCTCCCCGACTGGGTTCAATACCCATTATGTGCAATTGAATATTTGAATTCACGTCACCTGCATGCACCTCAGTCTTTTAACTCTGAGATGTTCCGAGCCTTATAGAAATACAAGCTCCAAACCTTTAACTGTTTTCTATTTCCCCGCGTTTACCGTGGCAGATGACCTCTTGGCCCAGAATTATTGATACGTGTATGTATCCGGTCTGATGTGCCAAAAAAGAGATACTTAGGCTGAAAAGCCAACTTTAAGGGGGGGACATCTGGAGAGATGACGCCTAGAATCAAGGCCTCTGGCTGGATTGCGCTCTGCAAGCCTCTGCAACAAAGGAGCGCCGGGCGAGTGCGCGGGTAAGCGCAGGGAGCAGCGGCGCGCAGACCTGGGAGCCCCAGCTCCGCGACGCTCCTGGAAGGAAACCCTCGCAGTTACAACCTCAAGGGGGTGGGCAGCGGAGGGAGAAGGGCTCGACCTTTTGAGAAACGCTGCTCCAACAGATTTTCCCTGGCTTGGGGAGGGGTGGGAGCTGGTGGGGTGGGAAGACCTACCGGAACCGACACCGGAGAGTGAGGGCCAGGTGGGTGTAAGATAAGCACAAAGTAAAAATTTGCCCATTGGTTTGTCCACCCAGGTATTTTTTAAAGAAAGCAGATGAATTTGATTAGTAGATGTGACTTTCCTCACGCTAAGGGAGACTGGGATGAAGGGTTCTCTGCATGCCTCCTGGCTTGCTTACCCTCTTAGGAAGTTTTCTCTCCTCTCATTTTTTCAGACCTTCAGTGGGTGCAAGCATTTCCTATAAGATACTTGAACTGTTCGGAGTGTTTTCCGTGTACATTTAACTATTGAGCGGTGACTAGTTCAAAGGTGACCAGCTAATAATTGCGAGGGAGTCACACCTTTCCATCTTTTCTCACACAACTGGTATCTGGGGGACCATTTGGAGGTGTGCTTAGAAACAGAAGTCTTGGTTCACCGCTCCCCTACCCCACACACACGCACACAGGTTCTCAAAAAGGTTCTATAACACTTCCCAAAGTAGATTGTGGCTTCTATTAGAAATCGCATTGAAGCTCCAACTAATTAAGAACAGTTAGGGGATAGTTAGGAGCTCCAACTCTTAAGAGGGCAGCATTTTTAGCCCTGTAAGTTTTTCTTTCAGCTTGATATATATTTATAAAGCTGTTTTCCCTTTTCTCTTTCAGTGCCCCACTGATGAAAAATCCAAGGTAGTATCGTTTTGTGGGCTGGCTTTTGCCAAGTCTCGCTTTCTCCCTTACGGGATAGAGCTGGGGGTTAAAACTGAGGACCTGAGCTCTAGTCTCCTTCATTCAACTTCACCGACAACCGTTCAACTCTGTTTTGTTGTTGTTGTTGTTTGTTTGTTTGTTTGTTTGTTTTTTGAGCTTCCCCTGGCTCCTTTGAAGGGCTGACTGCACCATTTCCTTTGGCAACTAGAGGAAAAATAGGAATTGGCCTCTCAGGGGCACTTCCCCAGTGTGGGACCATTTCTCACAAATAGATCAGATCTAAAAATGAAACAGGTCTGTTCTCACACTATCAGGGACTCAAGTCTTTCAGCAAAACACTTACCCTCTGGAGGGCACTGGCAAATAATGAGAAACAAGTGAAAGGGTAGTGGACATTATGTTTACAATGTTTACAAGACGCTGTAGTACAGAGTATTCGACTGAGAAGTTTTTCCAGAGACTAAAGGTCCCTTGGGCCTCTGGTGGTATTTAATCACGGATCTTTCCGCGCCTGGTTCTTCTTTGGGTAATGTCGGGACAAAGCTTCACCTATGCACATTTTGCTGAAGATCAAGGGGACTTTTCTCATGACTGCGGATGTCTCTTGCTTCAGAGAGCCTGCAACACCTGGCAGCTCACAGAGACTTTCCTGGAGAGTCCCAGCGTTCTCCGTCAAGGCCTTCTCCTCATCCTGGTCCTCTTCCTCCTCCTGCTCCTTTTCTTCACCTTGGACTTTCTCGCTTTTGAAGTGGCTCCCTAGCTTATACAAGCTAAACATTTCCACTCTTATATACGAGGCTCTCCCATAGATTTTTTTTTGCTCGAGGTTCTCAAGCAAAATTGCCGGTGCCACAATGTTATGATGGAAGGATGCTAAAATGACAGGCCTAGTAGACGCTTGCCTTAATCATCGGCTTCTTAATTTAGTTTTAGTGCTGTGTGTGTGTGTGTGTGTGTGTGTACACACACACTCGCGAATGTGCGCGCCCCCGGGGACGTTGAGGGTGCGCGCGCGCTGAGAGCAGCCGTTGACAACCTGCAGCTCCCTAATGAGTGATGAGGCAGGGCTGCTGCAGAAAAGTAACACTTCCCTGGTGTGAAGACCTCTTACTGAGAAGTTTAGTTCACTACTGTTCTCGCAAACCTAATCGTATAACCTGTAACCAAAACCCATGGAACAAGGATACAACACGCTAAAGAGTAACTTCTAATCACTAAATGTTAGCACCATTACCTGCTGTTAGGAAGATATTACAGACAAGTTGGCTCCAGAGAGGGCAGACCTCGCTTACCACAGGATCTCTGGAAATACCTTGATGCCTCTTCATAGGATTCCCTCACTCCCAAACGTCACAAGGTCAGAAATTCTCTGTGCATCTGCAGAAAGAGAGCTTTAGCTAGAGTTTGGTGCTGGGTGCTGCTCCAAGGACAACCTGTCCCGGGAGTGGAGAGCAGGGTGGATTTTAAGTAAGTGGGGCCCACACTCCTTTAACCAGCAGGTAGCAAGGAGAAAAGAGGCAAATCACTGACCAAAAATGGGAAACAGGCCCTAAGGAAGACTTAAATGACACCACCAAATAGAAAAACGAAATGTTCTGCTCCCTACTCGGATGAAGTATGCTGTGGAGCCTTGGTTATTAATTAAAACTCCAGAAGGAATAATCTAATTCATTTCCTAAGCAATTCTTCCCTTGGAACTGCTCACTCTTTACAGGGCCTGACCTCTTTGGGGGAGCTGGGGGACTGCAGACAGAGCAAGAGAGAAGTTTACTGTGATATATACCAGAAAATTACATTTACTCTGACTTCTGTTTTTATTCATTAATAGTACACATACACATTTGTAGATGTCTGTGTGAGAAATCAAGGTTAGATTGATCATGGGAAAAAAATTAGAATGATAGAGAATTTGTTTCAGGTCTCAGACAACTGATTCACTCTGTCTTCTGAAGGTAATCACAGGGACAGAGGGGGGCTGGAGATAGGGCTTCAAGTGCTTTGGGAAGAGGCCCAAGGTGGACAGAGGCAGGCCTTCAAATCCAATTTGCACCCAAATTGGTAGGTAGGATATACAAAGCCCCATCCAGAGACTTTCAACTTGCGCAATACTATGTCCAGGATCCCCTCTCCCTCCATGTCAGCTAGTAGCAGTTCTTTAAAAAAGCTATTACTGAGATAAACAGGGGCTGCTGAGTAAACAGTGCCTGTTTTGTTGAACAAGCTATATATTCATATACACACATATATATATGTGTATATATACATATATATATCACTCTATCTCCACATAAAGTGCAACTGAAATTATTAAAAGGAATTAAAACTCACTTCTTGCCAGATTACAAATAAGTTCTGTCATTAGAAAGAACAGATTTTTAAATATTATATTAAACCATATGCTATTTATTCCTATAAGAATATCCTATTTTGAGAGACTTGTATTCATGCAATTCTTACACTATATAACACATTCTTAATTTGAATGCAAAACATTTTCCCAGTTAATATGAGCTCCTGGCATATAAAATCAGATTATTATAGTGCTCATTAGCAAACCCCAGTTTTTGCTCTTTGAAAGTAAACAGAAGAAAAACTTATTTTCACCTGCTAAAATTCTATACAAGATTACAAAACAATGCACGCTCAGCTTTGACCTAAGAAACACCTTAAAACACTAAAAATTCATCACTCAGAGTTGGTGTTGTATTGAAGGAATGCTCCTCCAGTTTGCTGCTGAGCTCGGATTTGAATAAAATGTCCAATGTTAACAAACAATACCCACGTTTGGCACTTTGTGTATTAAATTGATCAAACAGATTTTAGGAGGCACAATGCACAATTTGTACAGACCTGATTGAGTTAATATAATATCAGCAAATTTTACATCGAAATGATTCTGTTTCTTTTCTTTGTGTTTAAAACCAGCACAGATTACAAATTTTAATGATCTGAAAATGTTTGGTATACAAAATCATGCTTATTTCAGTATTAGCAAAAACACAAGAAATTTTTCAACACAAACACCCAGCTGTGTCTATTTTAAAAGCAGTTCAATGACAGCTTGCACTTATGAGCATGCAATCAGCTAATTTCGTTTTTTTTTTCTTCTGTGTTAATCAACACTTTCCTTCCTGCATATCAGAGTACAAATAGTATAGTTACTCCACATCAGTAAATGTTTACGTAACCTGTCCTTTCCCAAGAATCCGGTTACACCGAATCATTTCACGCTAGACCGACTACGAAAACGTACCGGGCCGTCCACCTCAGAGGGAGCCCTGTGTGCCATTATAAGTGGTGGTGAGAAGGGGGGCTATAGGGGGAGAAATTGGGAGGAGTAGGTGGAGGAATGGTGAGAGAGAGGAATGGAGGGAGGGGGGAAGGGGTGGGGGGAGTTAAGGGGGAAGGAGGGAGAAGGAGGGGAGGAGGGAGGAAGGAGAGTTGAGGAAAAGTAGAAAGAACGGGCCTGAGGAGGGGAGAAGAGTGGGAGGAGGAAAAATGAGCAGGAAGGGGAAGGCCCACAGAGTTCTCCAGCTGGTAGGCAAAGCCCATTAGCTCACCCGACTCTGCGAGAAATCCAGAGGGTGGAAATCAATGTTTGGGGCCATGTCACTATCAGCACTGATTGTTGGAACCCTTGAATTTTTCCACATGTAAATACAGTTTGTTTTAAAGTGAGAAGATATGTAGACATAGGAAAAGATACATACATACAATGGAAGGACATTTGAGGTTAGTCCAATATTCAAAGCCCCTTTGTGGCATTCCTAATAGATGTATATTTAAATTTCACTAGCTATTTGTAATTATCTATTATTCTCTCAAAAGTTTCCTCCCCCGCCTTCTCTCTCTCTTTCTCAAGACTGGGGGTGGGGAGGACGGAATAACCCCTATTATCCTAAGTATTCATCAGTTGCATTCTTTATGTTACAATTTAACTTTAATATCAAGCATAAGCACCAATTTTCCTTCCTTCGTTTGCTTAAATACCAAATCTGCCAGATATCTTAACTGAGAATTTATCAAAGTGAAGAAATGCTTACGTTTGATAATTATTTACCTTACAGAGGAAGGGAAAAGTGCTTTTCATTTATGCTTCTTCTCCACCTCCCTCTTCTCTGGGGCGACATCCTCCGTAAAATGTGGCATGGTTCGTGCCCAAGTGGGATGAAACAGCCTTTGATCAATGTGCTCCCCACTAAATTCCAATCCCTGGGAAATGCTGGGCCTTAGCCCTGCCCCTGGCCACGGGATCCTTTTAAAGCCCCCGATTCGCAATTTCCCCATTCACTTCAACCTTCAACCGAACCTTCCCAGTTCCAAAGCCCAAGAAGCTGAGACTGTGGGATCGACGTTCCCAAGGCTCCCTGGTGCTTACCAGCAGCACGCAGGGTGGGCAAGCACTGGCTTCAGTATACTGTTATTTCAGGAATGAGGCCCGCACAAAATAAAAGCATTTGAAAAACGGAAAGAAAAAAAGAGGGAGTGAAAATAGGAAAGCTTAAAAAAAAACCCGGAAAGAAATAAGACGCCCATCCTTATTTTCCCTCCATTGTCAACAAGCAAAACGAAAATATTTCCAGGGTGATCGCTCGCAGCTACACGCTTCCAATTCGGATTAGAAGCTGAGACTGGAGCAGCAAGGAGAAAACGACATCGAGTCACCCCGCGCGTGAGCGACGTTCTGGAGCAGGAGAGAAGGGAAAGGAAGAGACACACGTATATAGCATGTGTTACCTGATTTATTTCGAGATTGTTTGGTACTGTTTTCTCTCTGGGCACCTCTCATTTCGGAAGGCCATCAGAGGCGCCCACTACTGAGCGGCCCCCGCCCGCCGCAGCAGCACCGGGAGCCCCAGGCCCGGCTTCCCCGCGGCGCCGGAGCCCGGAACTCGCCGCCGCCCAGGCCTCAGGAATCGAGTAAGTAACCCCTGTTTGGCCCCGCGCTCCTCTGCCGACTTCCTCCTCCTCATCCCATCGCTCCGAAAGCTTTCCCACACCCTCCACCCCCGAGGTAAAGGACACCCCCCCACACACACACAAACACACGAGCCAGCGGTGGGCCTCGAATCTCTCCTTATCCAAAGCTGCACTAGAATATTACCTACAAAGGGCACAATTTTCCTAAGGGCTCAGAAATGCCAGACACGGGCCTGCAGGGCTGACTCGGAAAAGTAGTGCCTCTCCTCTCTACCTCCTCCATTTCCTGCCCTCTCCTTGCATCCTCTCTCTGCACTCCCACTCTTCCCACTGCCACCACCACCACCACCGCCACCCCCGCTTTCAGAAATAAAATTGGATACAAACTTTAATCACTAAGGACAAATATTGACCCTCAAACGAAAATGACCCAGTACAATGAGGAGGAAGCCGGAAATATGAGCTATTGGCCCTAGGAGGGGGATTTCGGTGGAGCGGAGCCGGCGGGGTGGAGAGGGTGGCGGGGGTGCAGGGGCGCAGAGAAGGGCTGCGACACCGCGTGCTCCTGCCGGCGTATCCCTACGCGGCTCCGCGCGGCCGCGGGGTCCGAGGCCCGCGGAGAGGGGGAGGCGAGCGCCCGAGGGGGGCGGCAGCCGGCGGGCGGGGCGGGGGTGGGTGGGCCCGGCCCCTCCGATTGGTTGACGGCGAAAGAGACGCTCCCGCACGCCGCCGGCTCTGATTGGCCCAGCGGTAGGAAAGGTTAAACCAAAAATTTTTTTACAGCCCTAGTGTGCGCCTGTAGCTCGGAAAATTAATTGTGGCTATAGCCGCCTCGATCGCTGTCTCCCCAGCCTCGCCGCGGCCGCTCCGGGACGCGCCCGCCCGCCGCCCGGCTCTCCCCCCCTTTGGGCTGCTGCTGCTGCTGCTGTGACTGCTGCTGCGAGAGGAGGAGGAGGAGGAGGAGGAGGAGGAAGCAGCAGGGGGGGGGAGCGGGGGGTGGGGGGGAGACCAAGAAGTACAGTTGGGAGCGAGGGAGCTTCACCCCCGGGGCGGTGGTTGTTTCTTTTTTCTTTCTTTCTTTTTTTCCTTTTCCTTTTTTTTTTTTTTTTTTTTTTTCTAATTCCTGAGGGGTGGTTGCTGCTTTTGCTACATGACTTGCCAGCGCCCGAGCCTGCGGTCCAACTGCGCTGCTGCCGGAGCGCTCAGTGCCGCCGCTGCCGCCCGCGCCCCCCGCGCCACGCTCGGCACCCACCGGTCGCCGCCGCCCGCAGCGCCGCTGTCCCGCTCCCGCGCCGCCGCCGCCGTTTCCCCTCGACGACTGGGTGATGCTGGACATGGGAGATAGGAAAGAGGTGAAAATGATCCCCAAGTCCTCGTTCAGCATCAACAGCCTGGTGCCCGAGGCGGTCCAGAACGACAACCACCACGCGAGCCACGGCCACCACAACAGCCACCACCCCCAGCACCACCACCACCACCACCACCATCACCACCACCCGCCGCCGCCCGCCCCGCAACCTCCGCCGCCGCCGCCGCAGCAGCAGCAGCCGCCGCCGCCGCCGCCCCCGGCACCGCAACCCCCTCAGGCGCGGGGCGCCCCGGCCGCCGACGACGACAAGGGCCCCCAGCAGCTACTGCTCCCGCCGCCGCCGCCTCCGACCGCCGCCCTGGACGGGGCCAAAGCGGACGGGCTGGGCGGCAAGGGCGAGCCGGGCGGCGGGCCCGGGGAGCTGGCGCCCGTCGGGCCGGACGAGAAGGAGAAGGGCGCCGGCGCCGGGGGGGAGGAGAAGAAGGGGGCGGGCGAGGGCGGCAAGGACGGGGAGGGGGGCAAGGAGGGCGAGAAGAAGAACGGCAAGTACGAGAAGCCGCCGTTCAGCTACAACGCTCTCATCATGATGGCCATCCGGCAGAGCCCCGAGAAGCGGCTCACGCTCAACGGCATCTACGAGTTCATCATGAAGAACTTCCCCTACTACCGCGAGAACAAGCAGGGCTGGCAGAACTCCATCCGCCACAACCTGTCCCTCAACAAGTGCTTCGTGAAGGTGCCGCGCCACTACGACGACCCGGGCAAGGGCAACTACTGGATGCTGGACCCGTCGAGCGACGACGTGTTCATCGGCGGCACCACGGGCAAGCTGCGGCGCCGCTCCACCACGTCGCGGGCCAAGCTGGCCTTCAAGCGCGGGGCGCGCCTCACCTCCACCGGCCTCACCTTCATGGACCGCGCCGGCTCCCTCTACTGGCCCATGTCGCCCTTCCTGTCCCTGCACCACCCCCGCGCCAGCAGCACTTTGAGTTACAACGGCACCACGTCGGCCTACCCCAGCCACCCCATGCCCTACAGCTCCGTGTTGACTCAGAACTCGCTGGGCAACAACCACTCCTTCTCCACGGCCAACGGCCTGAGCGTGGACCGGCTGGTCAACGGGGAGATCCCGTACGCCACGCACCACCTCACGGCCGCCGCGCTCGCCGCCTCCGTGCCCTGTGGCCTGTCGGTGCCCTGCTCCGGGACCTACTCCCTCAACCCCTGCTCCGTCAACCTTCTCGCGGGCCAGACGAGTTACTTTTTCCCCCACGTCCCGCACCCGTCAATGACTTCGCAGAGCAGCACGTCCATGAGCGCCAGGGCCGCGTCCTCCTCCACGTCGCCGCAGGCCCCCTCGACCCTGCCCTGTGAGTCTTTAAGACCCTCTTTGCCAAGTTTTACGACGGGACTGTCCGGGGGACTGTCTGATTATTTCACACATCAAAATCAGGGGTCTTCTTCCAACCCTTTAATACATTAACATCCCTGGGACCAGACTGTAAGTGAACGTTTTACACACATTTGCATTGTAAATGATAATTAAAAAAATAAGTCCAGGTATTTTTTATTAAGCCCCCCCCCCATTTCTGTACGTTTGTTCAGTCTCTAGGGTTGTTTATTATTCTAACAAGGTGTGGAGTGTCAGCGAGGTGCAATGTGGGGAGAATACATTGTAGAATATAAGGTTTGGAAGTCAAAATTATAGTAGAATGTGTATCTAAATAGTGACTGCTTTGCCATTTCATTCAAACCTGACAAGTCTATCTCTAAGAGCCGCCAGATTTCCATGTGTGCAGTATTATAAGTTATCATGGATTTATATGGTGGACGCAGAACCTTGATAACAACCTAAATTATGGGGAGAGTTTTAAAATGTTAAACTGTAATTTGTATTTAAGAAGCATTCGTAGTAAAGGTGCCCAAGAAATTATTTTGGCCATTTACTGTTTTGTCCTTTTCTTTAAAGAACTGTTTTTTTTTTTTTTCTTTTGTTTACTTTTAGACCAAAGATTGGGTTCTAGAAAATGCACTTGGTATACTAAGTATTAAAACGAACAAAAAGGAAAGTTGTTTCAGTTGGCAACACTGCCCATTCAATTGAATCAGGAGGGGACAAAATTAACGATTGCCTTCAGTTTGTGTTGTGTATATTTTGATGTATGTGGTCACTAACAGGTCACTTTTATTTTTTCTAAATGTAGTGAAATGTTAATACCTATTGTACTTATAGGTAAACCTTGCAAATATGTAACCTGTGTTGCGCAAATGCCGCATAAATTTGAGTGATTGTTAATGTTGTCTTAAAATTTCTTGATTGTGATACTGTGGTCATATGCCCGTGTTTGTCACTTACAAAAATGTTTACTATGAACACACAGAAATAAAAAAATAGGCTAAATTCATATATATCTTGATACTTTTGTCTCTTTTATTAAGTAAAGCTAATTTTTCAAAGACCTATCAAGTTATAGGGAATTCGAAGGCTTTTTCAGCCAAACTAAAATTTAAACTGCTCCTTTAATTTGAACTGACTCTAAAAATGAAAATAGTGTTTTTCCCTTTGTGAATGAATTTTACAAGGAGCAGCCTATTTAAACACTAGCTTTAAACAAAGTATAGGATTTTCAGCTGATATCTGTAAGTTTCTGTGGATATACAGCAAAAAGATATAATTTAATTTTTATGTGCATAGTTGTTTACCCTGTGTTTATTTTCAAATCAGTTAATAGAATGCTTTTTATATATTTTGTTTCAGGTATATTGTTAATAGAGCTTGGCAAATTATAAATAAATATATGTATATGGTTAGATAGAAGTGAATATAATGAACACATATGTAATATATATAGACACACAGAGCCCTTCAGTTCAGGTACAATTTGCGCTATGAATGCTGCAAACATTTTTGTTTAAATATTTGTATTTATACTTTCGAAGTCAGCATTTATTTTTGTGGCTGTTTACCCACAATGAAAGAGTTCTAATAAAGATGTGCTGAAGTTGCAATATAGATTTTGCCGAAGTGATCACCTGTTGTAATGACTTGCAGATCAATGTTTATATTTTATTTTGAAATTATAACAATTTAGAATTCTAGACATTCAGAAGTAAAATGCCTCTTTTCTTAATTTTCATAATGTAGAGGTATTTAATTGATCCCCTTTTAAATGTCTGTGTAATTCAATCTAGAGATTTGTTCCTTTTGCTTAGTCATAATTTTGTTTTAACTTGCCATATGCATATGTATACATATACTGTATATGTGTATATATGTGAGACAAAATGAAAACATTTTTTGAATTGTTTCAGGCATCCCAATAGCTATAATTGCAGAAAATAATTAGAAAACCCTAGTAAAAGGTTTAGTAACTAATTGGATCCTGTGGTGAATCTGTGGAGGACAAGTTTTTCATTTGTTACAATTGTATAGTCTGATATGTGTTCTGCAGTACTGCAATAAGCTGGTTACTTCTTACAATAGGCCCAATGAAAAATAATCTGTCCCTAAGATGTTATCAGCAAACACTTAGAGAGTTGCTCAGGAAGAGGAGGAAAAAAAAAAAAAAAAAAAAAAAAAACCTAAGGGAGAAGCAAGCTTACTGGAATAGATTTGAAATTGAAATGCCGAATACTTAACACTGGAAAATAGAAGGGGGTGGGTTGTGGAGTGGAGACAGGAAAAGAGAGAGAAAGAGAGAAGATCTTTGTGGTGAAAAAATAATTTCCACCAAAAAGAAAAAAGAGTGAATGAGAGAGAGAGAGAGAGAGAGAGAGAGAGAGAGAGAGAGAGAGAGAGGGAGAGAGAGAGGCCTAAGAAAGAATATAAGGGCCAGGAAAATTAAAGGAGCTGGAACCAAATATACACAAATGGGGAATGGACAAAAATAGATCAAGACAGTTAGTTTAATTATCTCCTTTAAGCAATTAGACATGATTTTATTTTCTTAGTATAGGAACAGTTTCACCAGAGGTCCAAGTTTCCTTGAAATTTAAGTTATTCAGAATGAAGCATAAAAACATCTCCCAAATTATTGTTTTAAAAGCCAAATTTATGGCCGATATTAAAAATAGCAATAAAGTCCAAGTGAATGATTTTAGGCAAAGGAAATCCCCATTACACATTTTTAACTGAAATAACTCAAAGAGAGGCATGTGTCCAAGCTGAAAAAAAGGTGATGATTTATTGTTTGCTTTTGCCATGGATTTTATTTGTGGAATAAGAATGTATTAACACAGGGGAAATATAGAATTTTGCTTACCAAACATTAAAAAGAAGTTGAACTCTTGTGGTGAGGTAAAGGGATATAGGTATAGAAGAAAGATTCCCTGCATGAATTTTTTTTTTGCCACATTAAATAACTATAGTTATTTGTGATTATAAGTGTTCATTTGACTCACAGATAAATTGAGTTTTAATGGCAAACATCATCCTTTGAAATCAAGAGGAAAACTGATTTCTTTGATTCTTAGAAACAAAGTACTGGAGTAAAAGTTCTGCTTGGACCCATGTCCAAATTACATACAATGGATATGCCTAGAAGTGTGTTAGGTATATTAGACATGAAGGCAGATATATGGAGAGAGAACCTTGTAAAGGCTTCCTGAAGCCCAGTATGAACATCTCATTTCCCTATCCTATCATTCCTCAACTTACCTTCTCAAAAAACACATGACAGTCTGGAATGGCATGTAATACATTATTGCATCAAACTGGTTGTAATGTTGTGTTACTTGTTGTCTCCAACCTTTGACGGTTAAACTTAGCTAATGTCAGAAATACACTTCAAAACTTTTTGAGGATTTTTTTTCATACTTATAATTGTTTTTACTAAGATGAAGGTTCTCCTTTGTGAGATTTTGGAACTGAAACTGATCGCAACTTAAAACTTGAAATCTCAAATTAAAGTTTATTTCCAGGTTTAAAGTATTTTACTTGAATTTGTCTGTTGTAAAGTTAACAAAAAAATTAATATGTAAAACACAAAAAAAATATGTAATTGAACTAGAGGAGTTAAAGTATTATTTCAAATGTGTTTCTTCAGCCCGTTACAAAATTGGGAACCTAGTGAACATAAAGTCTAGAACAAGGTTTAATACAAATATACTTATGGTCATGGAAGCCTTCATGTAGTTTCTGTGACTTGCATAAAATCAAAAGCAGAGAGGCAAAAATTTAGTCTTGCAGGGTATTGAATAGCATATATTTAAGTTGGTGCATATTTCACCCAAATACGTAGATAAATTTAATATATTTCGTAGTCTATAGAAGTGTGGTTTTTAAAATGTGTTTTCTACATCATTGTTGAGGAATTTGCATGCATTGGGAAAACTTTGCTTTTGGGAAATTAATTTTATGAATAGCTAAAGTGGCTGGTTGTGTTTGAGACTAAAAGCCTTTTGGAGAATTAGGCTAACAAAGGGTGAAGGTGAAGATCATTAGAGGTTTTAGAGCTGGCTGAGATGGGTTGCTGGGGTTGTGTAACTGTGCCTAGAGGGCGGGGTTCCTGTACATTCCTACTTCACCAGATAACCTGCCCCCAACACCACTTCAGCTTCTGCCAGACAGATGGAACTCTCCAGCATGAAAATCTGCACAGCCATTCCAACAAGCAGGGTAGGTGAAACTTGAATTAAAATTCTCCCCTCTTTATTTTTCTACTTAAGGCCAGATCCTGGAGATATGGAAGAATAGAGGTCATTTAGATTCTCTCTCTCAGGCACACAGGTCTGCCGTCTTCCTCAGGCTACCTACCTGTAAGAGCTAAAAGGCACTGGAGATCTTTTCCAGTTAGTACTTCCTGCTATATTTTCATTTGCGTGCATTTTTTTTAAAGGATTTATTTTCTCTATCCCAATCATTCCCCATTTTTATTCTCCCTTCAGGGCCCTTTCCCCTCAATCACCAGCAGTTAAAATAATCCACCTCAGATTCTGGCTCCCAAAAGCACCCATTCCCCACCCTAGCGGTCAGTTCTAGGGACCTTATTCTGAGGATGTAGGCCAAGCGGGCTCCAGGCTGGCAAATAGACAATGTATTGTTAGATTTTGTGTCTCTTGTCTCCCTCCCGATTTCTACTGCGTTTTGTTTTTGTTTTTCCCCTCCACCCAAGGCTCTGACTGAGGTTGTCCGAAGGATGCCGAGGAAAAGGATATCAGGACTGGAAGTGCTCTTACCACAAGATCAGTAAGTGAAAGTGCTTTTCCGAAAGGAAGGGGTGGAGTAGGGAGTATGTGTAACTGACTGCTTTGACTGAGTTTTAACGCGTGACTTTGGGGTCCTGGGCTTAAGTGTGTATCTTTTCTTGGAAAATGTTTGTTAGCAGGCGCGCTACCAACAGACGTAGCTGAAAGGAGACATGTTTTCCACGTTGACAGAAATCACAGTGAATCCCCAGGTCAAAAGGATGTAGACACGGCAAAGGAATATGGAGACAAAACGAGACACATTTACGGAGAAAGGGTACTGGGAAACTGAAATAAGTCCTAAACTGTAAATTAATTCATTTTGTGGAAATATGATTTCTGATTCTTACGGTTGCTGCAGGAACTCCGGGCCGTTCTTAACGCCCAAACACAGGGTTATTAGTTATCCTTATTTCAGTTAAAGCTCTTTGCTCCAGAGCCAAGAACCTGCTTCTCTCTAAAGTTCTTCTTTGGATCGCCCTTCTCACTCTATTTGCACACTAACAAGGCCAACCTTCCCTAGAGCCCGCCCTAGCCCCCAGCTCCTTGGCATGGGTCACACCAGGCTCCCAGTCGGATTTAGCCCGGCTGCTCTGGGTCGGGAGAGGCACTGGGCGCGTGTGGGAGTCTTCTCTTCTGTCTCTTCGAAAGACTAGGGAAATGAACACCGTTCTGGGCTTGACTTTGTCCCTGCTGGGAGTATCCCAGTTCCTGGCTTTGGAAATCTCAGGCAAATAATTGATTTTTAATGCACACTTAGGAGACGTCAGTGTACGCTCGAGAGCCTCGCTATCCCAGAGTGGCTGAGAGCACGCGCCAGATACAGGTTGGCTCGGCCCGAAGCGAATTTGGGACTCTCGTCGCGGTGTCCTATTAATTGGCCTTCCCGACGCCTCAGGGACTCCTGAGCGAAGATGGAGAGTGGCAAAATAGCGGGACTTGAAGTCGTTGTGGTAGGGACCCAGCGGCGTTGTTTTCTCGGGTTTTGGACCAATGTGGAGAAGTAACGTAGGCTGCTGAGTTGGGGCCTTGCTGGCTGCGCGGTGGCCGGAAAGGAGAGGAGCTCTCGGGACGCTGCGGCGGAGATCCCGGCGGAAGGCGAAGCCGGGCGCTGCGCAAGGAGCAGCAACGTGAGGGCGCTCTTGCCCAGGACAAGCAGATCTGAACGTTCGGTAGCTCACATTGGCTGATGCCAGGAAGAGAAACTTCAGAACCTTGACTGGCGCACTACCCTACCTTTCCCTTTCTTCTTCATTTTCTGTGTACCATGACCCCCCACCTCCAACACCTCCACCACCTTTTTTTCCCCTCCCAAAGTTGTTTCCTTTTGTTTAGCCGGTGCGGTTTCAGATCTCAGCACTTCTCGGCTAGTAGATAAAACTGCTCTGTAATGGACATCTCTTCTCCTCTCCACTTGCTACCCGACTCCCACTTCGCTTTCTACCCCATTTTTGCTTCTCTCTGACCAAGGCTGTGGTCCAAGGTGAAGGGGTCTTACAGGAAAAGAGGTAGCCTCGGGTGGGAATTCCCTTAGCACTGAGGGCGGACAGTTGTTGGTGAGAGGGAAGTAGGGGCTCCGCAGGGCAGAGTACTCCGCCAGTGCTTAGATTCTCAGGCGGTAATCTTCAGTCTAGAAAAGGTGATGGGAAGGAAGGGCAACGCAGAATAGAGGTGGTCCACTTCCGACTCCCCCTCACCCGCCCATCCCTGCAAGTAAGACTCAATTTCTGTAATTCAACACCATCTTCACCCGCTCCTCTATCAAACTTTGAGGTAGGCAGACATTCTGAAAGTGTTGTGATCACAACAGGCATTTACAATGATAACAACTCACAAATTATGTTTGTGAGGGTGAGGGTTAAGATAAAATGCCCCACGTCTTTTTCGTGGTCTATTGCTTAGCACAAAATCTTTTTCCCTATCTTCGGTCCTATCTTCCCTATCTTGCAGAAAAGCCCCATAGGAGGAAAGCAAGTTGGACGTTTACAGATTTGAGATTCGTGTTGGAATGAAAGGGAGTGTATAGTTACCAAACATATTTGGGTATTCATTTTCAGCTTAGGTTGAATTTGCTTACGCCACTGTCACTCCCAGAAACTGGGGTCGTCTTCTTCAATTTTATTCCTCATCTCTTCCTATTGTGTCATTCTTTGAATCAATGGGTTTAAGGTGCAAACATAGTTTCCTGCGTAGACGTTTTTGATTCCGTTGATTGAGTACGAAGATTAAAAACTGTAATGGGGTTATGGAGAGTTGTCTCTCAGTTCTTTCATTTTCTCATTGCTGTGAAATTTAATGACCTGATCATTGTTGTTTGAAGTTAAATTATCTGTTAAATTAGCCCGAAATAATAACTGATATTTTCCTTTTGGATTTGGTTGCTCTTGAATTCTTGGCCCCGGATGGGAGAGAAGTCTGAGAGAGTGTTTTGTGATACAATATTATAAAGATAATCAAAATCAATATTTGTGTGCCAGTGATATCACATAGGAAAAAAAATCCCTTTCAAAGTAGCTGAATTTCATAAAGAAGACATTCTTTTAAAGGCTTGTGCTTGAGAAGCCTGGATTCAAGAATGAATGTAAATAAGCATCTTTGTTGATGAAGAGAAAATATGAACACTGTATTTTCATTACTCTCCAGAATCTAAATATTCAAACTCATCACATACTGGTGCTTGCTAATCTAAATCAATTCGGCCTTCCAGGGATACATATTCTCAAAAAGAAAATTTAACTCCTAGCAAAATCTAAAACATTGTTTTAGATGTGAATTTCTAGAAATCCAAAGTATATTTATTTCTTTGAGTCAGATACTAGTTTGTTTTGCAATCATTATATGAAGCAATATTAACACAATGCAGTTTTTTTTTTTTCTCCTTGCTTGTTTCGTGGTGACTCCATATGCAAGTATAGGTGTGAGAGCTTCCGCAGTGTATTGAGGAGATGACATCTTATTGTTTTAGGACCCAAATAATCTTTAAACCAAAATGTACTACAGCCATTAAAAATGATCTTTAAAATTAATAAGCACCATTGTGTGTTTTTCCTATTAAAATGTACTGAATGAATAATTAGAGGCTAGGATAAAGGTTGAAAAATTCAGAGCAAGAATTAGGTGGTAATTTTATTATTTGATACTTTTATAATTTCTATAATTAATGACGTCATTTTAAAGTTTGGCAAAGCTTTCTTAGAAACAAACAGAGCACTCCTCCCATCCCATCAGAAATACTCTAGAAGGAATAAAGTAGATTCAGGTAGAACCGGCAGAAAGAATTGTTTATTTATTTATTTATTTTTCCCAGTAGTAATAGTATTAGTGAAGTTGAAAAATATACTTTTAATTATACATTGCAAGCTCTGATTGCAGGTTAGAAAACTAAAATCGATCATTCCTACATCAATAGTGTTGTTTATTGCTACATTGATTTGTGTTTATTTATGCAGAGGCTTTCAGTTATTTACTTACATATTTCAGCATCTGCCTCTTGATTATTATCTTGGGTTGCTTTTAATGAAAGAGCTTATATAGGAAGCGAAACACACTTGACAGATCCATTTTAAGTAAACCTGATAGTGAATTATGGCAACCCAAGGAGATTATGAAATTACTTATTCATACTTGCTTTTTAGCAATTAGGAATATGTTTCTGATTAAAACCTCATGCTGCTTGAAAACGTCCATTCTTTTCTTCATACTTTGTATTGATGTGTTTCAATAAAATAGAAAAATAGATGATTTTATGATGTCAGATATAATAGAATGAAACTGATAAAGAGCTTTATTGTCTTTTTCCATTGGCATGATGAAGCTACCCTCATAGCAATAAGCTGGGCATTGAGTTTATTAATGCTGTTTATGAAAAATCAAGTAGCATTCATTTGAATATAGACATAATACTTGTGTTTTAAAACATCTATTAATTCTAAATCATGCCAGGGGTACTTAGGCTGAATGAGATAATCTGGAGTTCTTTAGTATATAGTTTATATACTCATATTTTGTATTACTTAGCATTATGTGTGATGATAACTTACAAAGATAGACATTTCTCTTGAACTGATATCTCACAGGAATGTTATCAGAGTTCATTTGAACAAATAGGAAAACTAAAGACGTGGTAGTGTGCCTTTTATAAGTACAGAGCAACAGTGGGATATTGAGATGTGTTAATATCTGTACTTCTATTATCATCATTACAAAATATTGAAAGATTACTTGAAAATTGAGAGAAAAAAGTGACCTAATTTATTGAGGACTATTTAATCCTCATTTCATAGGACTTTTATTAAAGTTTGGAGGATTAATTCTTCCTTGTTAACAGTTAGGAATACATTTACCAAATACTGTTAACAACCCTATTATTCTTCATCTTTTGCGCCAACCCCCGCCCTCAGTCTGTGCAAGGAATATAATCATAACCATTTTTTTTTTAAAGAATGATAGGGACTTGGGAGATGGAAAAGGAATTAATAGTCTCACCCTGGCGAGTTTTCCTTAGCATCCGCACTGTGAGAGGTAGAACCGCTCAGTCCCGCGGCTGGCTGCAGGCAGAAAGTGGGCGAGTCCTGGGACTTAAAAAGTTTTGCAGAAGGTTGAAAAGAGGAGCAGAGGGAGAGTTTTGAGTTTATTTATTTTATTTTATTTATATTTTTATTTATATTTTTTGTCTTATGCCAAGCCCTTGAAGTTATCCTAGCAACGACGTGGTCCTTGTAGTACCAAGCATTGTTGGCATTCTGTCGAGATTGTGATTCCAGAGCATCGGATGAAGGGGAGTTATAGCTAAAGCGTACTCACCTCCCCCCCCCCCCCGTCTTTTTACGCACGCAGCAACTCGTCCTCACGTGCATCAGGGTAGTGGACAGTGCTGACTTGAATTGCTCTCCCTCACTCCAAGCCTTTCCTGTGAATGAACCAGAAAACACTCGACAGGTCGTGAATAATCGTTTTAATGAGTGTGCAAAGCGTGCGACGGGGTGCACCGAGCTGTCGGGTTAAACAAACAACTTGTACCCTGACCAAATCCGATTGTTAAAGTGCAAAGTGATGTCAGTACCATTTCCATTGCCTTTCGGAAATCCACAGATCTGACACGCGGGAGTCCAATTTTCCCCATTAAAGAAAAATAACAATATTTTTCGACCGTGAATGTGATCTTCTTTAATATTAATCTGAGCCAAACCAAACTTCATTTGAAGAATCAGAGAATTAGTCGTGTCTGTCTCAAAGAACAAATCGGAAGAAAGGAATAAGGAGGAAAAAATCAGAACAAATATAAAACGTCTGAGGGATAATAATTTCTTCTTGATAGCTCACACATCATTGCTGATCAATGTTGTAAAAATCTTCCTTTTATAGATTACTTCGTAGCTCACTAAAAACAAATATTAGGTTACTTGTATGTAAACAACTGGACTGGTAATTTAGTCTTGCACTAAGATTGAATTTGTAGACCTGTAAAGGCTTTTACTGGAAAAAATTTAACGAAAATATTTGTTGTTTGTATAATAGCCTGTGAGAAAAATGAAGGCATAAGTCGTTTGCACATTCATGCTTTCAAGGAAAACAGTTTGGAGGAAAGTAATGGGAAAAGAACCCTAGCTGGCCATTATCGAAAATCATAACAAAAAATTACAAATGCGATTTTCACGAATTATACCCTCCCCTTTTTTTGCAAAACTGCACTGGGAAATATTTTGTTTATTTCTCAACCTGCAAGAAGGCCTATTTGAAATCAGTCACATGTTCTCCCTTCTTTGTTGATTCTTTTATCTTCTTTCACAATTCCAAACATTAAATATCATATGAAGATTAAGAAAAAACTTCAAAATATTTAAAAAAATATCTTTTACACATTACCACTTAACAACCTGTGGAAAGGAGAAATGTGTAAAATATTTCCCTTACCAACATGTTTTATATATTCACAATTCAAACAAAATGTTCATGATGCTTGGAAATCAGTGTCCTAGTGCCACAGATCTAGCTTCTTCAACTCAGTAACAATATAGGGAGAGCAAGGTTGATATTTTTATTGCATTATTATATATTATGTATTTTCTATATGAAAGACAGAACATATATGATGTCCTACAATCTGCAAGTTTATTTTATCTCTTATAATTGTAACCCATTTGGAGAAATGAAATATTGGGGATATAAGACACTTGAATGTGGAAGCTCAGCATCTGCTCACTTACCTCCTATTGGCCATAATGTTGTCTACATATCTGTGTCTGTCTGTTGTGACCATCTATTTCACATACAAATATGTCCATATACCATCAATAGCAATTAAGAGAGTTAATTCACCTAAAACATACAGCTGAGGTATTTGATAGAGTAAGCAATTTCTTATGTAAGTCATTGTACTTATGTTATTATGGTTGCTAGTTTTTATACATCTGTGTCAATTTAGCACCAATTAGGTAAAATGGAAGAGATTGAAATTCAATTTCCATCATCAAAACTTGGAAAAGACAACCAGGGTTTTAGGACAGTGTTTTTGTTTATTTTAACTATTCTCTAGTAAATGTCTGTATCAGAATATCAATTCAGAATATCCTTTATTTTCTATGAAATTTAACAGAAAAATTAGTATTAAAAACTAGGGGATTGCATTTTTAAATTGTTTTAATTATTTTTGGGCATACCACAGACTATGCAGTTTTTACCTAAACATATCTCTTCTCTGTGGGCTGAGTTGAAGAATTTTAGGAGTCACTCAAAGAACTGCATCCATTTCTGCTTTAGATACACAAACAGCAAAGCTAGAGGGTATGTCTGTTTTTGTGTGTATATATGTAGTTAAAGAACTACACTATCAAAACATTAATTATATTTGAAAGAGAACAGAGCGTGTTGTGAAGAGAATTGCATTATTGAATTTACATTCCACAGAATTTGTCTGAGAGGGCTGAAATTCTATACCTGTCTTACATGATGCACCCTCTTCAGAGAAGTGCATAATAAGAGCAAAGAGATGAAAGAGTCAAACTTGGAGGGGAGTGATCTTAAATGTTTGGTTGGTCCTGAGCAGAGGGTATCCACATGAAAATGCAAATCACAAGAAGAATATACATGGGATCTTTGTTCCTTGTCAACAAAAACAAATAGAATTTTTTCCCTCTACCAAGCAAATCACAGAATAATCTTAGCTGAATTTGGGGGAGGGGAAGTGGTTGAATGACAGAAAATTTCAGTTATCATATTTTTTATCCCCAAGTCCTATTTATTTCACAGTTGCCAAATTTTATGTCCAAAATTTAGGTTCTCTTCCTCCCAAATCCTACATTAGTATGAATCATCCCTGATCATTTTTAGTTTTTGGCTTAATTACTAGTTTTCAGCTTTAAATTACCAATAAA